TAACTGGTGAACGTAATAGAGTGCCGAAGTTACAACGTCACTTTGTAGGCCAAGACGCGGAAGTGATTTAGCATTTTAGCACTCCCGGTAGCCTCGCTCTAAAGTCTATGGGATTTTTGAATGGGTTTTTGCTAAATCGCCTGAAATAAGGTCTGTGGTGAGCAAAGCCTCTACATATTTTCACGTTTTGATCTATGACATAAAACAAACCAGTTATAACCTGCTTGTGGTTTTTTTAAACTTTATTGTATCTGCTTGTGTTTTTTAAAAACTTTATATAGGCTTCAAAATGTATAAATTTTGGATTAACTTGTAAAGATTATCTTGATAAAAAAAAAAAAACGTGTAGGGGTCACAACTCTTTGTTGAACACAGATCTTATTTTATGCGATTTTCCAAAAGTCTATGGGGAAAATGCATAGCTTTTCCATCGAGGGAACCCATGCGCCGCTAGCCACAACATGTTCCTGGATCAACATCTTGAACAATATTCCAATAAACCAATCAGATTTGAGGGACAAGTTTACAGTTTATGTCAAGTTTAGGCTAAAAACCAGGGTTTGGTGCATTACACCTATCAATTCCCTCTAATTTAATTGATAAATTATGGGTAGGGTTAGGTTTAGGGGTAGGGATAGGACAACATTTTATTAATCACCTTGTGAAATATCTAAATAATACACCTGTAACATTCAGTTTTGGATTCTGTTTAGTTTTTCTGGACTTTTAGGGACACGACAGCGATGTACTAAAAACGGAAAAGTTTTTCCTTTGCGTTTTTTGCATACAGGCAAAAGCTTTATCAAAGCGACCTCCATTTACAGTAAAAGATTCACGCGGATCTGCGAAAAAAAAGAAGAAAAAACGCTGTATTCTGGTGCCAGGCCAGTAGTTGGCGATGTCACTTTGTAAAGAAACACTAGGCGCCTTGACTGAATGTTACACGCATGCACATGACATCACCGTTTTCACCAATTCACGTTTTTTAGTTTACATGGAAAGATAACTGTACCGTTTTCAGGTCCCCAAAACACAGTTGTCCGGTAAACCAATAAAAACCTTCAAATTTTTAATTGAATACGGTGTCGCGTAAATAGTGCTTTCTAGGCCAAAACGCGGAAGTGAGTTAGCATTTTAGCACTACCAGATCCCTCGCTCTAAAGTCTATGGGATTTTTGAGTTTTTGCTAAATCGCCTGAAATAAGGTCTGTGGTGAGCGAAGCCTCTAAATATTTCCATGTTTTGATCTACGACATAAAACACACCAGTTATAACCTGCTTGTGGATTTTTAAACTTTATTGTGTCTGCTTGTGTTTTTTTAAAAACTTTATATAGGCTTCAAAAATGTATACATTTTGGATTAACTTGTAAAGATTATCTTGATAGACAAAACACAGATCTCATTTTATGCGGTTTTCCAAAAGTCTATGGGGAAAATCCATAGCTTTTCGATCGAGGGAATCCATGCACCGCTAGCTTCCGTGTTGTCCTACAAAGTGACGTCATCACTTCGGCACTCTATTGCTTCTAGGCTTGTTCGTTTGTTTTGTTTGTTGCTATGGTTACCTATAGTTTCATTGATTTGATCCACCTGCTCCTTGTTTAGTTACTGTGTATTTGAGGCATTGTTTGTCTGTTCATGTTTACTTTTAGTTGGTAGTGACTCTACTGTGTTCCTGTATTCTCCTGTGCTCAGTGGTGTAAAGTATTTGAATAAATTTAATTAGTTACTGTATGTAAGTATCTTTTCGGCTACTTTGTAGTTTTACGGAACATCAAAGATATTTTACAACTTTTACTCTCTGCTTGACTGTATTTTTGAATAAGCATACTCTGTACTCATTATATTTCTGACAAGTGATGCAATAACTCGTTACATTTTGCATGGTATCTAGCAGTTTATTTCTGCTACAAAAATGATTGCCATCTACGGGGCATTGGAGGTACTATATCTTGTTTGTTTTGCCCTTACCCAAACCTGTCAATAAGGCTATGAATTAGCTGGTAGCTAACTGCGTTAGCTGGTAGCTAATGCAATGGTTAACTGGTAGTTGCTGAATCACAGGTTATGAGGTGAGGACATGACTGCAGTGGAAACCAGTGTCCAGTGCAAGCAGGCTTGGAATATTTAATATTGTTTAACGTTTTACTTAGATTTTAGAAAATAAACCTGTGAAAATGACCTTTTCCTTGTTTTTCACTGGCATGTCTCTTAGGTGTTGAGCACCAGTGCATTTTTGAGCCAAGTCAGCCAACATTCAGTGCGAGTAAAATACTTTAGTACTGTTCAAATCAGATAATCTAAGACTTTTACTCAAGTCGTATTGGAATTAATGACTTGTTGTAATGGAGTTGTGAGATATACTTTTACTCAGGTATGGTTTTCAGGTACTCTTTTTACCTCTGGCTTGGGCCAGTAAGAGATATTTGTTTAATATTAATCAATACTTTTCTGCTACAAGGATGCATTCAATTGATCAAAAGTAGTAAAAAGTAAATACATTTTATAATGTTTCAAAAGATTTTTATTGCAAATAAACATTATATTCATTAAACTGAACTGGAATGTTTCTTGAGCAATATTCACAATATTACTGTTTTTTTTTTTTACTTTTACTATTATTTTGATCAAATAAAAATGCACCCTTAGTGAGCATGAGACTTCTTTCAAATATACTGTATATATATTTAATTTTACCAAACACTATCTTTTCAACGATAGTGTATAGCTTAAGAGATGTTTGTGCTAGAGTTTATTAATCGAAATTTGTTTTCTGAAATGTTTTGATTAATAGCCTATTTTTATTTTATTTATTTTTTTATCAAAATTTCAGCCAGGCCAATTAACTGGCTGATATTTGGACATGGTTGCATTGACAACCTGTGTGTCAGTTCCTAAACCATAAACATACAATAAAGACTATAATATATGGTCAAATTTAATAAATTTTTTGTAAATTAGTGTTTATTTTGTGTATATCACATTTGCTATCATTGAAATGTAATATATTGGCATATCAGCTGTCAGGCTTTCTTCTCTAGATATTGTCATTGGCTATTGAAAAACCAGTATGAGTTTAACTCTCCGACCAGATCAGTCATCTGCAATATGAGCCCACATGCACTGAGAACTAGTTTCATAACCATTACTAGAAAGTTCCCAGAGAAGACATCAATGTGGACATGTGTGCATAACTGAACTATAATCAACAGCACAGATGAAGGCCAGCACTTTCCTGAAAGCTTTTATACAGTGGGGGTTTCATGGATTAGATTTGTGACAATCTAACATTGTTTTTTTACTCGTGTGATATTTGAGAGCAGTTTTTCACTGAAACAGAGACCTTCCTTTTATTTGTGCTACTTCATTCAAGAGTCAGAAACACTCTTTATAACCGCTGGCCAGCCTGTCCACCAGGGTCCCTTTTGTAGCTCTTTGGAAGCATGTTCAGTTTTGCCATTTGTGGACAACGATGACAAGACACAAAAGCACGCTGGCCATAAATAGCTCTGAGCAGCAGAGGATTGCTCCCTGCCTGCGGATCAAATTCTCCAAAGGGAAAAGCAGCCACTGGACTCAAGCCCAGATCTACTGCAAGACCACGCTCAGAGAAACCGCTTGGCCTGTGAGAAGTAGTTAAAGGTGCCTGAGCTGTTCATTTAAACTTCATTAAATGCTTTAAGTCATGCAGGCTTGGGGCTACCCCACATATAAGTATATGATTTTCTCCATAGTGCCTTCAATGCTTTACTAGCTTAGTATACAAGAATCAGAATGCCTCAAAATAATGCAAACTTAAACAAATACTTACAAAAAAAATCAACAACTAGAAAAGGAAAGATTGCTTAAAGTATTTTTTAGTTTGTATTTGGCCTAATGTACTTTCAATACTTCTGTATCTTTACAGCATAAATCTGTATCTTTACGGGATGGATGGAACATTCAATTGATAGATGGATAGAATGATCGAATGATGGATGGATGGAACGATCAATTGATGGATGAATAGATGGAACGATAGAATAGTTAGAATGATCGAATAAATGGAGATAGAAAGAAAAAACGACTGATAGATAGACAGACAGAACAATAGATGTGTAGAATGTTAGAATAGATAGATGGAGATAGAACAGATGGATGGATGGATGGATGGATGGAATGATAGCATAATACAGAAAAATAGTTATATAGATGGAAAGAGATAGATAGATATATAGATAGATAGACAGAGATAGACAGACAGATAGATAGATAGATAGAATGTTAGAATAGATGGATGGATGGATGGAATGATAGAATAATACAGAACAATAGTTATATAGATAGATAGATAGATAGATAGATAGATAGATAGATAGATAGATAGATAGATAGATAAATAGATAGATAGATAGATAGATAGATAGATAGATAGATAGATAGATAGATAGATAGATAGATAGATAGATAGATAGATAGATAGATAGATAGATAGATAGATAGATAGATAGATAGATAGATAGATGGATGGAATGATAGAATAATACAGAACAATAGTTATATAGATAGATAGATAGATAGATAGATAGATAGATAGATAGATAGATAGATAGATAGATAGATAGATAGATAGAATGGATGGGTGAAATAGATGGATAGAGATTAAACAAACACTGGATGGATGTATGAATGGACAGATCGATCAATAGATGATGGATGGATGGATAGATAGAATGACTGATAGAGGATGGATGGATGGAATGATGAACAGACCAATAGATATAACAATACTCAGATACAGTGATAGAATAATTTAGATGGAGATGTACAAACAAATGATAGATGGATGGATGGATGAATAGACAGAACGATGGTCTTTGCTTAAAAATCATTACAGGTTATCTTTAACTTTGATCATTAAAAAAATAGTTAATAAATATGAATTAATAAAATAAAAATTTACAGGCCAGACATATATTTCACTGGTCATTGAGGTGACCCTCTAAAGAAATCAGACCGTTTAATTGAGCCAAGAAATCCATCCAAGAATTCCGCCACAATATTTTATTTCAAAGTGGCACCTTCCCCGATCTCAAAAACAATGTTTCACTTCAGGCTGCATCATACATTACAGATAGTTTTGTATTTTCATGTAGTGTTAAAAAAAAAAACATTCCAAGCATCTCAGCCTTCGTGTTCTGTGGTGCATTTGAATCAACAGTTCAAACCCCATCTGTTTATGTCCATTTGCGTAACAGGAACGAAAACTGCGGTAACTTCAACTCCGGGTTGACAGACAGAAATTCCAGACGGAAAGTCCTCCTTCAACTGGTAGTGTAAAACAAAAAGTGCTTTGTTTATCTGCATAAACTTGACCAGATTAGGTAGATAAATAGCTTCAGGCTTGTAAAGTGCTCGTCATTGCTGTGAGGCATTAACGTACAGCATTCTCATATAGTTCTCTGACAGCATAATAGAATATCTCTGAAGATACATGATGAAGATATCAACTGAGTTTAATTTATGTGAACATCCGAGCTTTCTACTGTCGTTTGGCAAAACACGCAGAGGGAGACAGAACGCTCTTTGGGGACATACAAAAACTAATATGAACTGCAAAATTAAGCTGGCATTCAGCTGGTAGAGTTTTTTTTTTTTTGCATATGTTAATGAGATCTCCTTAATGTGAAAAAAAGAAAAGAAAAGGGAATAAAGACAAACTAGGACTATTCCTTCAGGATCAAATGATAGAGACAGCTGCGAAGATGAAAGCGTGTGGAATCCAGATGGCACATGGCGGATGCGTTTACAACGGTCTCCCCTCCAGCGATACGACCACACTTCCTCCCAACTTCTCCGCCAGGGTGGAGCGGTCCTGAATGTCGTCTAAACCGTTAACCTGCCATTCGTGTTTGATACCTGAAAAAAAAGATGCACGATTGCATAAGATTTCAAAATAAGTATGTATTGGAGTAGTTCTCTTAAAAAAAAAACTTTTGCTGATAATTTCCTCACCCCCATGTCATCCAAGATGTCCATGTCTTTCTTTCTTCAGTCGAAAAGAAATTAAGGTTTTTGATGAAAACATTCCAGCATTTTTCTCCATATAATGGACTTCAATGGGAACCAAAAGGTTCAAGGTCCAAAAGACAGTTTCAGTGCAAACTGCACACTGTTGAAAGGGCTTTAAACGATTTCAGACGATGAATAAGGGTATTATCAAGCGAAACAATCGCTCATTTAAAATAAAATAACAAAGTTTAAGTTTTATAAGCTCAAATGCTCGCCTTGCTCTGTTCTGTGAAGCGCATTCGTGATTCTCCTGTTCGAACTCGTTTATCAAAATAAACGAATCTTTTTTCCGTGTCATTTGGTTCATTCAACGAACGAAATGAACGAATTGACTCTGGAAAAGATTCATTCATTTTGATGAACAAGTTCGAACAGGAGAGTCACGAACATGCATCACAGAACAGAGCAAGGTGAGCATTTGAGCTTATAAAGCTTAAACTTTGTTTTTTTTTTTTTTTTTAAATGAGCGATCGTTTCGCTTGATAAGACCCTTATTCATCGTCTGGTGTCACTTAAAGCCCTTTGAAGCTGCACTGAAACTCTCATTTGGACCTTGAACTGTTTGGTTCCCATTGAAATCAATTATATGGAAAAAATCCTGGAATGTTTTCATCAAAAACCTTCATTTCTTTTCGACTGAAGAAAGAAAGACATGGATATCTTGGATGAAATGGGGGTGAGTAAATTATCAGCAAAAGTTTTTTTTTAAAGTGAACTACTCCTTTAATAAAAACATTTTTATTACGATTTAGAAATGACTCTCAGTTATTTTCCCACTGTGGTGTTTTTATTTTAATATTAACTTCTGTGAACTCTGTGATTCTTCAGTGCAAAAAAAAGTTTGTCTTCATAATTTTTCATCAAAATGCAATTACTTGCATAACATGTTTGAGCCAGTGTTGTTATGTCAAGCTGGTCGGGATTCTCCAGGGCTGTTGCTCAGTGTTTGTAGTTTTCAAAATCAAGCTACAAATGACTTACTTCTTAGTCTATGTGCAGTAAACTGGGAAAGAAAGGCATGGCTAAAGGATGTGATTTAGGCATTAGTTTAGTTAAAGTTTATATGTATATATATTTATAATTTGTTTGATAGTGCAGAGTGCAGTGAATTCTTTTGTCACATACTGTTTTTCGTCTACTAAATAGTAGGGAAGTATGCGGATGCAGGCAATGGTTGCTTGCAGAAGCCAAGTATGTGATTTCAGATGCAGTCATTTAACAGTGTACAGTAATTACTATAAATTGTGCATAATTACATGCAACTAACTCTAAACCACACCCCAACCGTAATCTTAACCTTGAGCCTATAGTAATTACAAGTAGTTAATTATTATTACTACTCAGTACTTAAATGTATAATTACACTGTAACACTTAAAATAAAGTGCAACCAAATAATCTGCTAATGCCTATTGCAGATATAGATATTCAAACATCTGAATAACTAGGTTGCTGATGCACAGTCAACTTGTTCTTGAGTGATCACAGACTGGATTTGACTGTATTGCAGCCCATAGAAACAGACATTAATGAGGCATCTATGTGTGTGTGTGTATATATATATATATATATATATATATATATATATATATATGGCTGTTACTATATTGCGCATTAACTGGAAGACTGTATTGCCAATAAGCATGCAGAACTCAGGATCTGTGAATATGACCGTACTCACCTGTAAACTTCTTCTTAATGGCATCTTTTGAGCTAGCATATATCATCTTGCTTTTTAACGGCGCACCTTCAGGGGCCCTAAAGTCAAAATAACAATGTTCAATATGAATGCAAACAAAAAACAGAATTTGATTTAATTAGTGTAAGAACGTTTAACAAACTATTGCAGAGTTCATTAGAAACAAACAGCAAGTTTCAAGGTATTTTTAACAGAAGTAAATTACAAACTGACTAAAATACAATTAATAAATTAGAAATATAAAATGACTGTCCATCAATGTTGGATGGTCTGTTTTACTTCAGTGTATTCTATCAATTTTTAAAAAATAAGATTCACATATAAAAATGACATAAACTAGGGCTGTCAAATGATTAATCGTGATTAATCGTATCCAAAATAAAAGTTTGTATTTACATAATATATGTGGGTGCACTGTGTATAATTATTTTATATATATATATATATATATATATATACACACACATGCATGTATATATTTAAGAAATATTTTAATGTATATACTGTATATAGATTAAAATATAATTTATATTATATATAAATATCAATATTTTATATATAAATAATATTTTTTTCTTAAATATACATGCATGTGTGTATTTATATATATACAAAATAGTGATACACAGTGTACCTACATATATTATGTAAACACAAACTTTTATTTTGGATGCGATTAATCGCGATTAATTGTTTGACAGCCCTAAAAATAACCTATCGCAGTTCGCTTGTTAATCAAGCATGGAATAAGAGACACAAAAAAAAAAAAAAAAAAAAAACAGTGCTTTTTCAAAGATATAAATTTAATAAAAACTAAATAATAAATAATAATAAGAATAAACTAAAACTTTCAAAAAAATTAAAAATGAACTAAATTAAAAAATGAGTGAATAAATTAAGGCTGTCAAAAAATTAATCGCGATTAATCACATCCAAAATAAAAAGATATATACAAAATAATTATACACAGTGCACCCACATATATTATGTAAACACAAACTTTTATTTTGGATGCGATTAATCGCGATTAATCATTTGGCAGCCCTAGAATAAATAGATAAATGCATAAATATATACAAA